TTTTTTTTTTTTTTGTCCAGAAGAAAATTCAGTTGTATAGATAATAAAAGTTAAAAGTACTTTCATTCCTTTTATTCTGCTTTGGTTTTTATCATTTTCTTAATTACATTGAAATCTTGTATTGTTAAATTCAATTAGGGACAGCGTTTTGTTTCTGCAGCTTGCTAGATTTTCCTCATTTTTTGAATATATGTTTTTCTTTTTAATTAAGTTAGCCATTGTCATGATGCCATGATTTTAATTCCTTCCAGAAAGTCTTCCTTTTTCTCCTCCTTTTAATTTACCACCCCATCTCCACTTTCACCCCCCTCCCTGCCCCATTGTTATGTTAACCTCTAGCCTTCGAATGAATTAGCTGGAATCTTTCTGAATTCCTCTGTTTCTCTGTTCTTTGGTGTGCCGCTCCTACTTTATTGCCCCTGTCTCTACCTCGGAGACTCTTCAGTTGACTGGGAGGCCTGGAAAGTGGAAGGACCCAAATAAAAATGTCAACTTTGGAGCAGCCTTTCCTGGTTCTGTTCGTGCTTGAGAACTCCCATCGCTTGCTGATTCTGAGCAGGCGACTCCGTCAGGTGACAACATCTCAGAAAGCCTTAGCCAAGTGAAGTGGTTTTCAGTTTCATAACTAATAATAATAGTCACAACAGTAATAATATTAACACCTCAATCAGGCCACATCAGTGAAGAGAAAAAGTCCAGAAAAAGTCCTGTGAAAGTCCAGGTCTGTGCTGACACCACCTTTTCCAGGTTGCTATTTTCACTTGGTGTTTCTCCTTGTGAATTAGTCATTAAACCCAGTTAGATAGCATTCAGCCTCTATTAATCAGAAAACATTATGCAAATTTCCAGAAAGTGCTTATCAAATTTTCTTCTGCAATATGATTGATTCAGTGCCTTCTAATGTAAATAGGAAAGCGTAAGAACTGACAGGTGTTTGCATATGTTTTCCATTTGATAAAAGTGTAGCTCTTTAATACTATTATGTGAATGGAGAAGGCTCACACACGCTGGGAACACACAGTATTCAAAACTGCCCGTTTAACACTTAACACATGTTGAAGAAGGCATCTCTATTCTATCTGCTGTGACGTTACCAAATAACCCAAGACTTAGAGCCCCCACTCATCTTAATACCTATGGATTGGACATTTTGAATCACTGTTCTGTTTTTCTTCTAAGACCAAACAGTCCAGTTGCTGATGTTTTCTTTAATAATCCACCATACATGCTTACACAGCTCAGCTGTCAAGAGGGCCCAAGTCGAATTTCCATTTGCCAACATTTAAGGGTGTGATGTATTTGAGTTGTAGAGACTAGACCAAAAAATAAAATATAACCTTTTTGCCAGTTTTGACTGGCAGGTACATGGTAACACCCTTTAGTCAGCGGAGGGGAGAATTTCCATGTACTGGGGAGCAGGGTCGGGTTGTGGTTCTTACCAGTCAGCCTGTCTCTCTGATTCTCTCCCACTCCATACACTTCCTTGCCATTCCAGAATGATTCCAATTAGCTGGAGAAAGGCTCACTTTTATTTCTACTGAAAACATTTCTCTAAAATAGAATTGGGCCCCAGTTCCGTCCTATAAACTGAGCGGGGGATAAACTAAAGTGTTATTCAAACATTGGTTGTGCTGTTTCAGTCAGCAAGCAGAGGAAAGCAACCCTGGAGGGTTTCTCTTCCATATTCTAAGACCCAACTCCCTCAGTGCCCTTGGACAAGCCATTTCACCTTTCCACACCACAGTTTCCATTTGTGAATGGTGATTATAATCCTCCCCAGCCGTATGTGGTGGCTAAATATGCAAAGCACCTTATGTTCCAGAAGGATTATGAGCTCCTCCATGGTCTGGGTGCTAGACTCACTGTGACATGTGCACGATTTACAATCTGAGTAGTCTGTCGTGAAGGTGACTGTGTCTGTCTGTCACCGGCGATGCAGCTAAGTAGAGCTCTCAGTTCTGGACAAGGCTACAGAGGCCCTAGGGTGTTGGAGCATTTCTTGGCAGAAGGAAAATGAATCTTATAGAGAGAGTGCGCCCCAAATTGGAGTTCATTGAAATCCTGACTGAATTTTGCATCTAAATGCAATTTATTGAAAGAGAGGGAAATCTCAGAAAACCAGAGTGGATTTTGCAAATCCTTTCCGTGCTGAATCATCTAAGATGATTATTTTGCCCATTAAGAATACATTTATAACATCTTTTTTAGTTCTGTAGGATACATTTGAAGGGGTTGGAAGCCCCTGTCTCTTTCAATTAAACTGTAAATTGCTTCATAAATATTTGATAACAAGCTTATGACTGTCTCATCTACCTTTTTGGTAAGGTTGAATGGCTTCTGTGGCAAAAATTCATCTGAGGAATGCTTACTGGGACTTTCCTGGAGTATTCATTACTAAATGGAGCAGAACTTTGCCCATTTCTTCCTTCTTGGTCATATACTCATGATTCTACCTTTGAGCCGAGTCAGGATCAAAGGCACGTACTTCACTGGGAGTTCTACTTGAAGGAATGTGGATTGCCTATTCCAAACTGTAACTGGGATTAGGGACAAGGTAGTGATGCGTTTCTTTGGGTTTGTTTTCAGTTTTGTTTTAAAATCCGACCTTGAACATGGCCCTCATGTGAATTGCTTTACCTGTAATGCCACATTAGTCAAACCACGAACACAAAACTGGGGTTACCAGTCTTCCAGTGTTCCAGCTGTCCGGCCTCGCACCCAGCTCAGGGTGTGCTGGCATTTGAATATTTGAAAATAGCAAGCGGAGACTAATTGTAGGGCTTCTTTAATCATGTTTAACCTGCCAGTCCTCTCTGCTATCCATAGGAGAAATTGCTTCAAAGCTTGAAAAGCATTTTCTAAAGGAGAATGGGGGTAGAGCCATTCCAACGGGAAGCATTCTGGCAAAGAAAACAAAATAATAACTGCATTGGGTAGTAAAGAAGACTCCCAACTATTTTTATGCACTCCAACAGTACAGTTATTGTAAATGAAGAAGAAAGGAAAGAGGAGGACGTCCCTCTCCTGTTGCACACATCCACACAAAATCAAGAGCGTCATGGGTCTTTAATTGCCTGTGGAAACCCAGAGTGAGCTAGAGTTGTAGCCTTCCTATGCTAGATGTGACCTGTAAATGCTTTCTGTTTTTTTTTTT